TTGTTATAATTTTTGTCTAGTTCTGTGATAAAATATTTTATGACGATTTATATAAAGTGAGATAAAATAACATGAATTGACTGATAACTTATGAAGGGGAGTGTATAGTATATTCCTGTCTATCTTTCTCTCTTTGTAAGTAGTACTCGTATATGTACGTAGACGACCTAGGTAACCGAGTGCGAGTACTCACGGTAGGTTGGTGGGTAGGTAGGTCGGCCGGTAAGTATATTAAACGATCCTCTTCTTCGATCACCTCTCTCTTTCTTTCTCCTAAGATCTGTGGGAGCGCCTTTCACCTAATTGTTGCCACAATATGTGAAGACCGAGCCACCGCGGTTCCCATCGACTTATGGCTTATGGTGATGACTCTCTAACCCACCACCGACGGAATTTCAATTATCACTGACATTCGATCAAAACTAATTAACAAAACAATTGGACACTCATCGACAAAATCGTGATCCCCTCTTGAATAAATTTTTATTCTTAGATTATACTCCAGTTTTTTCTGACAAAATATTGAATCCGATGATTTTCGTTACTTAATTTGTATCCACCGTCGTTTTCATTGCCACGAATCATTATAAAATAGCGCACCAGACTTACTCGTGTGCTCTTGGGACAATCAATAAATTATTGCGCGAGTCACACTCGAAAAATGAGAAAAGAAAAAGAGAGGCAGGGAAGCTGAGCCTGAGGAGAGGAACGAGGAGAGGTCGGGGCTAAACAATAACGATTATTTACGCTCGTGGGACATTGACGTTGACGTTTTACGTTCTCGTCTCCCTTTCTCTCTCTCTCTTTCTCTCTGGCTCGTATGAAAGTCAACGGTCCCGGACGCACCGGGAAGTTATCGCCGCTTTTAGAGAAATTAATTGTTACGTGTCCGGAACTGGCTCGCTACGCGACTGGCAATAACTCAACGACGATTTTATAGTTGGTTAACGTACTCGCGTCAGTACCTGCGTAATTAAAATCCTTTTACGCGAACCTCTAATTTCAGGGCGCGTTCGTGATTTATGAAATCCATCATTTCGTCTAAACTTTTATTCATAATATGCTTGCAATTTGCTTCGGACTACTAATATTTCTTTAACAACGAATATAAATTGCTCTAACATATTATCCAGTATCAAAACAGTGAAGCGCCAAGCTGGCGAAATGATTTGGACGAATGTTAAGTTGACGCATAAATTTCATTCGGTTTCGCCATCCATCTGATAGTGAGGAAACTAGAAAGGGGGGCGCGAAACAGAAANAAAAGAGAAGCTGTCAGAAATAATTATATGAATTAAATACCTGATAGATCTGTTACCGATGATAACAGGAGAGCGTGATCGATCTTGAGGACACCGTTCGAACGAAATGAATGGGAGCAGTGTCTATTCTCGACGGCATTGTTGTTGACAGTGGTGAGGGATTACGTTAGATTCATAAACACATGATATTCGAGGTCGGTTATTGTTATGATTAATGGAAGCTTGTGATTATTTGCAGATAAAAGGAAGGAGAATTTTAAGAAATTAGAAAAAGAGAGAAGTTATTGCAAATATTTGAATGATGGAATAGTTAAATATCTGAAGGACTTCCTGTAGATGATGAGGGTAATCATTACTGATTTGGAAGGCTGCTGTCCGAGCTTGTTGTTTGTTGAATTGTTTATGTATCTGATGGTTTCGTTGTTGATAGTGGTAAGAATTTATGTTCGATTCGGAGATATTTGAAGATAAATGTTGACATGACAAGGGATCTTTAATTAATTAATTATTTGTAGATGAGAGAGAGGAAATTTCAGGAAANTAGCGCGAGTATTCGCGATGAACGTGACGGCTTTCAAACGATTCAAACCGGTTCGGTCGATCACACGGTACCGATCGATGTTTCGATGCTTCGATCACCGCGAAGGAACGCATACGTTTTCGGGGTCGAATCGATCTTTCGATCAAGAATAGGGACAGAGGTGACACACACACACACACACACACACACACATTCATTTGGCAGACGATTAGATGACGTCGTGAAAGAGGGCCTTGGAAACAGTTTAGTAGGGCATCCTTTTTTGGATTAGAGACAAAGCCGAATATCGAAAATTCGAGGATTCACTGATGGCTCTCTATTATTAGAGGGCCTTACCTTCGACGTCGTACGTGCTGATTTTTAATCTCTATCGTTCATCACTGTTCTTCGAACCGGGTTTAATCAGGGACGAATCACTCTATGATTATGCGGCAGGTGTGGTGATATTTGTGGTGTACCTAGTCTGTCAGACTTTCAACTGCGGTCGCTCCTGATTCCGGAGCACGACGCGAGTAAGTGTACGTAAGTACCGTCAATCACCGACCGTGTGTATAAGACGAGTGCAAAGAGTTTGGAAACGCAAAGCGGTAGCGATAACCGCGGTGGTGGCGGTGGTGGTAACGGTTCCTACTCAGCTTACCTCGCGTTCGATCGTCGCCGCTGGAACAACTATGACAGAGTTCCATTCAGTGCGCGAAGATGTAATTTAACCCTTTCGCTTCGAGCGCCGGATATGTCCGACATCCACACGGTCTCATCCACGGAAACTCCGTTCGGTGACAGTACTTTGGCGGACTGGACTGCCGGCGGGAAAGGGTCAAAGGTACCCACAAGGAGTCCCGCCCCTCCACCGATAGGTTTCCGTCCTTTCAGTCTGTGACGGGAACTTCTCGGCTACTTCAGGTCAGAACATACGTTGGTCTACGAACACTTGGCCACGTGAAAATATCAACATCGACAGAGTAGGTGGTGGTAGCCTCTGTTGTTCCCGAAATCGATCGCAACGTTCCAACCCGGTTTAACGACGAGCGTGATCTCTACTTTCAGACTTCCTATTTCTATTCCTATTCCTATTCCGATTCCGATGAATTTCGGCGGCTGGGAGAGAAGAACCGAACCACTGGAATGGGTGGCGATTCTTCGAACAACTGTTTATAGCATCCGTGAACTTGTCCAAAAATCGTACCCTGTCTGTGTATAGAATAGATGATTTCAATTACGAAGAACCATTGAATATTCAAAGTGTAATTTCTATTTCTGTTCCATCCTTTACGCGCGTTTGTCTTACTCTTGTCTGTTCGTTGATTTGGTGGAATACAACGTAATAACACGGTCTACCTTCTCTTGTAGTGGCAGCTCTAATTTATTGGCGTGATCCAAAGAAATCGGGCCCCGTGTTCGGATGTATACTCGGCGTGCTCCTCTCGTTGGCCTACTTCAGCCTGATAAGCGTACTGGCTTACGCGTCTCTTCTCGTCCTCACCGGTACCATAGCTTTCAGGATCCACAACACCATTTTTCAGGCTATTCAGAAGACTTCCGACGGGCATCCTTTCCAGTAAGTAGTCAACTTCTCGTGCAGTCATTCTCAGAAACGCGTTATTAACATATTGTACAAATAATATCTGCGAAATATTCTCGCGAATTTTATGTGCGTCCGCGTTAAAATTTGCCCGTTCAACAGAATTTCATTTCGCTTCATTACCCGCACCCCCGACCATTGAATATGACGAATTTTAATCGTAATGTTCTAGAAACATTTTGGAGTTGGATTTGACACTGCCCACGGAGAAGGTGCACGAAGTGGCAGACGTGGCCGTCGCGCATTTGAACGCAGCGGTCTGTGAACTTCGTAGACTCTTCCTCGTCGAGGATTTCGTGGATTCGTTGAAATTCGGCGTCCTCCTATGGTGTCTCACTTACGTGGGTTCCTGGTTCAACGGCATGACTCTAATTATAATTGGTAAACTGCTGCTGCTGCAGCTGCTGTTATGTAAATAGTTCTATAATCATGCCGGTAGCAAATTTAGACCACGATAATCGGAATCGCGCACTTCGCGAGCACGCTCATATCATTTTACCTGTCTAAAACAGTTACATACTATTCTATTGTACGTAATACATTCGGATCACTCGATCAGTAAACGGTTCCAGATCCGTCGGTCAGAGACTTTCCAGCAGGTATATCTTAGTTCGTAGTAGTCGTACACGAATAGGTATATCGTACGTAGGATATACTTGCCTAAGTATGTTAACAGAATACCGACACGACGTTTTCTAAACGTACTCGGTATTCAGCATTCGCGACTCGCGATGTCCGTGGACCGAGCGATGCACGTCTCAAACGCGATAAGTTTCATTTACGTCGTGTTGAACATTATTTCACAGGTGTAGTCGCCCTGTTCACGTTACCCAAGGTGTACGAGACGAACAAAGCACAAATCGACCAGAATCTCGCCCTGGTGCAAAGCAAGATCAACGAGCTCACTAATAAGTAAGTCGCCACCGAAAAATGAATACAAGTCGAGCGAACGAATCGAAACGTTGGCAACAGCTTTTCCCCTGTGCACAGAAAATCTCGTTCAATCGCGCAGCAGAGCATTTCTATCTGATCTGCGTAATAATAATAATAATAATAATAATAATAATAATAATAATCATCATTACGTTACAGAGTGAAAGCTGCGATACCATTCGGAAAGAAAGAACCCAAGAAGGAAGAATAAAATGTGAGAGTGTACCACGACCATCACCACCATCACTACCACAATCACCACCAACACCATCACCACAACCAGCATGCGGGGACGGAAAAATTTAAACGTATTTGTCGGATTATTATGGAATGCGATCCATAATTTTTCGATGCATTCGCTTGAATTTCTCCTCCTCTTTAGCGCGCGCGCGGGGACGAGGAGAGAAAGGTGCTGAAGAGACGTTGTAAAACAAACAAACATAGGAAGAAGAAAAAATAACGCGTGCAGCTCGAAAGAAGAATCAACGACGGACGGATAGAACGATAACGATAAAGACGGGTGTGGCACGACAGCCACAGAAAAGTAAGAATCGCGAACAGAGTCCAACAAACGCTCGTTTACTAGCGGAAACTATATAAACGATGTGCCACACAAAAAATCAACAGCAAAAAGTACAGGAGAAGGTTCCTGGCATCCAGCAGGTTGTGCAAGCTGCGGAGTAACGAAGTAGTAACCATTATTCCTTTTCAATCCTGCTGAAACTAACGGCAGGTCCATGTTGTACCAGGATGCACACGAGAAACGGTTAAAGAGTGGTTGCAACGCAATAGAAGCATGGCTTGCAAGGAAAGTGTATCGCGGCGGGAGAGCACATTGAAAACCGGAAAATAAATATATATAAATGTAAAGAAGAAAATGAATGAGATGTAGTTACCTAAAACAGAGAGGAAGAGTATCTCTGAAACGAGTAAGATGAAACAAAGTTTAAACGAAGGTGGACGCGCGCGCGCGAGGCTACAGGAGAAAGAAAGCAGCAGCAACAGGAGCAGAGAAACCACTTAGATAACAGGCGAGAGAAGATCGTACGAGTGTAAGAGGGGGTGGGGCGGAGGAAGGAAGGGAGGGAGGGAGGGAGGCGGCCGCGCTACCTCTCCTCGATGTTTTAAATGCTTAGGTAGCTAGATTTCGGTGTCCTTCCGTGACATCGAAACTCCAGTTTACCTTTTCTGGATCTGTGCACGGTGTCCTTTAATCAAGAAATATACAAAGAAAAGTAATATTTAAATGATCACGTTAATTTATTGTGTCACGAAAGGCGAATAGGGCCATTCGATGTACTCTACGCGAGCGAATGCGAATGAACGAATGGCGCAATGCGTGTGGTATCTCTCTAACGACGACGACGACGACGACGACGACGACGACGACGACGACGACGACGAGGACGACGAGCTAAGGGCGACCAGCCCAAATTCCCTTCCCTCTTTTGTTTCTTTCTCACATTCTTCCTTCTTCTACATACGACAAATTACAACAACCGAATCCTTCCTTCTTCAGACAAGACCAGGAACGATATGCGGTCCCATTAAAATACTCTTAAACGAGATGTTCTTGAAAGGTAACATTAACTTTCGTTTCATATTAAATCGATTGCCTTATAGAAGTTCCTCTTGCTTGCGCACGATGTACAATAAGTACACGTTTCTGGGGAAGAAAGAGAGCATGTAGAAATTGCTATTCACACAAGTCGATGCTGGCGAATTATTTTTCTCTGTGGACGGTACCCGATTTTGAAATATTCCGTCTGAGGCAACATTAACTACTGACCATTAGTCTAATAGGTACGAATGTGTTTGATTGAAAGTCGATCGATTCATATCGTAGAACGTTAAAAGAGTCAATTCCTCGCCGCCGCTGATCGATCGAAAAGTCGATAAACGACGTTTCGTTCGCGGGGACGTGCACATGTGTAATCAGAACTATTTGTCCTGTACGATCAGTAATCGAGCGGATCGTTGTTCAATCAATTTTTTATAAGTGATTATGCATTTTTTACAAATTTTGAGGAAAACCCGAGTCGAGAATCTGTTTTATGAATATAATCGACGTACGACGACGTAGACAGCTCGTGATCAATTACTTTTGCTATCAGATTTTAACACCAGATTTATGCAGACGTTTGACAACAATGCATACAACGGACTGGACAAGCTCTTTGTTTTCTCTCTATTCGCGGTATGCCGTCGTCGGTAATGGTCTTATTCAGTGCTTGATCAGCAGTCGTTAATCTTTGCTGTATCAGCAAAATAATGTAAAATAAGTTTTCGTTAATTTAATTCGAAAATTGTTCCTTGGTACGAATAACAATCGAACGCTGAGTGACACCTTTTTGTTCACACACGTCGGAGGGCCCGCATATCGATCGATTTTCATCGTCCATTAGTATTTCTTTTTGAAACAAAAATCAAATAAAACCATGGAAACGATGGTGAAGCACGAGTGCGAGTATGGATGTATGTATGTATGTATGTATGTGTGTATGTAGCGATGCATGCATGCATGTATGCACGAACGAACGAACGTACTTTAGCCAGTGTACGAAAGACGTAAGAGTAAAGAGTAGCGCCGTCTGTTTTTTCTTCGGCGTTTTCGGAGAACGTTGTTTTCTTCGAGTCGAATAGAATTATTGCTAATCACGTTATTAAGTGTAACCATGGTTAAACATTACGATGGAAAGTTGTTGGCTGAATTGCGAGTTTTTATTATAATATCCTTCCGAACAAATCCGCTACTACGCTAATACCTGAAACGTCGTTCGACATCCCGCGGATCGCATCGCAACACGGTCGATCTGGTCATAGTACCTGCCGCTCGGCGGTACACATACTCGGTATGTACCAGGTAGACACGTACCGTACCGCGATTTCGTACCGAGAAAGGAAGCGTATGAAAAACGACGATCTCCAATTTGAATGACAATTAAACGCGGCGCGCAGCGGGTATCACCGTTCTCCTTTACTCTGATGAGAAAACAACGTGTAACGTCCGCAACAGAGTTCATTGCGGTGGTACATACCCATATACGTGTGTGTGTGTGTGTGCGCGCGCGCGCACACACACACACACATATAACATAGAAATACGAAGATAAAAGTGAACAGCGACGGAAGAATTAATCATTTTCAGAATGCAAATTGTAATACGCGTATCGCTTATTGACCTTTTCATTATCCGCATCTGCATCGCACGATTAATTTATAAATAAATTATATTAAATAAGACACTTCAACTCACGATGTCTGTTTGTTTCCTGCTCCCACATGAAACAGTTACCATATTACTATACGCGTATGTGTATATATGTATATTATAGTATAGCGTGATAAAAAAAATGCATAGACCACTATTCACTCGATAATTCTTATCCATGTACACCCTGCATAGAAAATTGTAACGTACTCAGCCTAGACCCAGATAAATTAAATTTATTTACCTGGTGACATAATTGTCGTGGTCACCTGCAAAACAACATTTCGCGGAGACAATCGAATGGCGGTGAGACCTGTCGTTAGGTACAGATGGCGCTCAATTAATTATTCGCCTAGACTTCTGACATACACGCACGCATGTACGTACGTACGTAGTACATTGTAACGCATAGAAGTCTACTGCTGTAATTGTACTTGTCATCGGTCATCGCACGTAGAATCACTCGGTCTCGGTCGGTCTACCGCGCGAGGTAGCGCGTCGATCTCGGTCAGTAGTGTCAGTACACGCTACCTACTACACCAGTAGTCCGTCAGCAGTAAGTACATCATATAAATGTATGTGACAATCCAACGGCTTCAGGAATCACGTGATCCGAGAAGTTCAATGCGTCTGCGTGACCTTCGCGCAAGGTGACCGCCGCCGAGGAAGATTGCCGGAGCCGGGCCAGGCGGCCGAAGGTTCGGTTATTCGTTCGTGGGTAGCGTACGCGTGCAGATTCTCATCGGGACACCGCGTTGCTCGTGCATACGTCGTGGTGAGTGGAAACCGGTCGTTGTACCCGTCTTTCATCGCGTGTCGTAAATCGGTAACATAAATCCACAGATTCGCAGCATATCGCCACATGTAAGTGCAGAGCATTAGCGAGAATCGGATCGAACGACACTACACCAGGCAGTATATACACTCGCGCACAGACGTATATACACGCACGTATGTGTAGACCTAGAACGACGCAGGCGAGTTTAAATTAAACGTTATTATTTGCGAAGAACGAAAGAAGGAGGGAAGCGAGAAGAAGAATAAATTGAATCTATATATAGAAACGAAAGGAACTGGAAACAGAAAGCGGTCTCAGCGTTCGAGCCGGAAATTGATCGTTCACGAGAGACAGAGGAAGACAGGAGGAGCATCGAGCGTCGGTAGCAAACGACGTAGATAATACAATCTGATCCTATTCGTCTGGAAGGTACACGAACTTAAAAATGTCGGCTACCCAAACTGATCATGAGAAGAGGAAGCAGATTTCTGTGCGTGGAATCGTCGACGTGGAAAACGTGACAGACTTTAAAAAAGCCTTCAACAGACATCTTCATTATACTCTCGTGAAGGATCGTAACGTGGCTACGAACAGGGATTATTTCTTCGCCTTGGCACACAGCGTCAAGGACAAGTTGGTCTCTAGATGGATACGCACGCAACAATACTATTACGAAAAGGACCCGAAAGTATGTTCATCGTCGTAATCATCGCCATTGTTCACGATACTCTTCGTCCATCGCGCGATCAATGCATGTTTCCCGATAAATCCGATTCGTTTCATTCTCACGCGCGCGGAGGACAGCATGAAATCGTACGGAGCGTGCAAACGACCGATCGTAATTGCAACGCACGCTCGACTCGAACAAACTCGATTCATCATCCGTTCGACACCGGCGAGTGCAATTCACGTCGTAGTATTACATACGCGTTAAACCTTCGTCGGAGGTTTGCCGAACATGTTCTTCGTTACACACCGGATTTCTCTAATCGATGACTCCACAATAAGAATTAGCCGAAAGCTTCTCGAAAGTGTCTCGGATTCGTATCCATAGTCGTTTCATAACGAGATACGCGCTTGCTTCACCTAATAAGATTATTTGGCCGGTGGTCGACGACGAATACCTACCCATCTGTCTACCTATTCAGTAACTGCGGCGGTAATTAAGCGTGTCCACCAGAGCTACCTGTACTTCCAGCGAAATACGACTCGCGACCAAAAATGCGTAGTACTTGTCAATGAAACATCCGATCGTTCGTGGGCAGACGTACGAACTCCTTACGTCTATCGACAAAGTCGACGATATACGCTTTCGCGAACCTTCAAAACGTAAGATGCAACGTGCAACACGTTGCAGCGTTTATTTTCGTTCGGCCTTACGCGATCGTCTCACACACTCCGAAGCCTGTTCGCGGCGAGCCAAACGGTCTCGTTCTTCGTTCAACCAACGTAAGCGCGTAACGACGACGACGACGACGATAAACTGGTCATCTTTGAAACCATTCCAATGACATGGACATGGCCACATTACATCAGTATATAATTTAATTTGCTCATCGCTTCGCGTTATCACAATACCGAATAAAACGAATTAACGAGATGATCCGACAAAGTTCTACCCCCGCCCGAGTCGAGAAAGTCAGCTACTATTCTCGTGACTGTAACTGTAAATAAATATCGTCATTTGGTTTCGCATAATACCGTGCATGGACGATGGACGGTTCGGATCCAGGCGGGGTACCTCCATCGGTTCAGTCGGTCGCGCGCATCGTACAAATCGTACAAACTTCAATACGAGTTACGTAAAAATAAACAGCGAACAGGGCAAGTCGCGGCGCGACAACGAAAAGTTGCGAGTAATAATAGTTTATCACGGAAATTACACGAAGAATACGCGTCACGCGACGTAGCCAGCAGTATTAAGAGTCACGTACGAGATCGCATCGTTCGGACGCGTTCCTGCTAAATTTCGCAAATATTTTGAAAAACCATCATTCCGTCCGAGCTGTCTCGCAATAGATCCTTGGAAAAGATTGCATACATACAGTCAATCGTGCACAGCAACTGTAGACTAGTCTCAAGTACTCGCCCATACGATAGCGTGCATACGATCACATAACAGTCGGGTGATAAAACTTTATTCGTAAATTTCCGTACGCCGCACGCACAGTAGTCATTCACACACACGCACACACGCACACACGCACGCATACACGTACTATATGTACCAACAACGAAAGAAATCGACGGATATCAATTGGAATTTTAAGAGATCCATTCGAGCTATAAATACACGCACGTATTTATAGCGTCTCGGTCCGCGATGAAATAAAAATGGGTTCTCCGCCGAGAACCCGGTCCAGCCTAGGATATTTACAAACTGTACACAGCATTTTTATTTATCACCACCGTCGACGCGGACGTTGACCGGGCGGCGATAAAGATCAATTTCGTCGGAGGCGGCGGCGGCGGCGGCGACGGCGGCGGTGGCTCAGTTTATTTTTCGCCGAACCAACTCGTAGCACGAGATGATCGACATTTCTAATCGGCGAACGAGACAGGAATTCTGATTCCATCGCACATCTGACCGAAGTTTAGTAACAACGGTGATTTCTATTACTAACAGTAAGCGTAGTTGCAACGTAGCCTGGCACGGATCATGACAGATCATACTTATATGCGCATCATTTAGCACGTTATTCGTTCCGTAAACCAGATCGTCGCCTCTCATCTATAAACATTCGTTGTCTGCAAACGTACGATTAAAACACGTGTATCCCGTGTTGTCACGTTTCATCGTCATCACGTATGTTCGTATTTCGTTTCACACAGAGAGTCTACTATCTTTCTTTGGAATATTACATGGGTAGAACCCTTCAAAATACCATGATCAATTTGGGCATCCAAGGCGCCTGCGACGAGGCCATGTATCAGGTGAGAGCTGACGCGTTTTTTCGCGAAAAATATGCGCGAAAGCCACGTAAGTAAGCTGTAGTAAGCGCGGAGCGTAGATCTCATCGTACACTACGAGTACTTCGAGTCGATGAGAATACGGCGAAGCGGCGAAAGTCCGCGCGTAGTAAGAGGACACGGTGTACTCGTGAATCGTAGATGGGCTTGGACATCGAGGAACTGGAGGAACTGGAAGAAGACGCGGGCCTGGGAAACGGAGGTTTGGGAAGACTGGCAGCTTGCTTCTTAGACAGCATGGCTACTCTCGGTTTAGCCGCGTACGGATACGGTATTCGATACGAATACGGCATATTCGCCCAGAAAATTCGAAACGGAGAGCAAGTAGAGGAATCGGACGATTGGTTACGTTACGGGAATCCATGGGAGAAGGCCAGGCCGGAATTCATGCTTCCAGTCAATTTCTACGGACAAGTGATCGACACCCCCGAGGGCAAGAAATGGATAAACACGCAAGTCAGTATACATAAGTCGGTCGGTCGGTCGGTCGGTCGGTCGACCGCGTTGGGTTCAAAATCGAGCCGGAGCCGAGTCGCGCGACGAATCGTCGATTAATCCTGTCTTTCGTGTATTCTGATCCAGGTGGTTTTCGCGATGCCTTACGACAATCCTGTTCCCGGATATAAAAACAACGTCGTGAACACTCTCAGATTGTGGTCTGCCAAGTCTCCCGTCGGATTTAATTTGAAATTTTGTAAGTATAGCAGAAGTTTTTCAACACGCCAACAACGCGAGCAGATCGCGATTCAAGTAGAAACGGAACAATTCTCAATTCTTCTCTCTTCTTCCACTCCACTCCTCACGCGCGCGCGCACACACACGCAGTCAATGACGGCGATTACATCCAAGCTGTACTCGATCGTAACTTGGCGGAGAACATATCCAGAGTGCTGTACCCAAACGACAATTTCTTCGAGGGTAAAGAGTTACGTTTGAAACAAGAGTATTTCATGGTCGCAGCTACGCTTCAAGACATCATACGCAGGTCAGTGTGCACCACGGCGTACGACGGATCGATCGATCGATCGTACATTCCGTCGACGAAAAAACGACGTATAATTTTTCACGCTCGATCATCCGAGAATTCTCATCTCGTGCGCGCGTGTATTCGACGACAGGTACAAAGCGAGCAAATTCGGCTCGAGGGAGCATCACAGGACGGACTTTGATCTGTTTCCCGACAAAGTCGCCATTCAGCTGAACGACACTCATCCTTCCTTGGCTATTCCCGAACTGATGAGAGTGCTGATCGACGTCGAAGGGCTCTCCTGGGAAAAAGCTTGGGAGATCACGACGAAAACGTGCGCCTATACCAATCACACGGTCCTGCCGGAAGCGTTGGAAAGATGGCCAACGAGCTTGCTGGAAAGCATACTACCCCGGCATCTGCAGATCATATATCACATCAATTTCCTTCACTTGCAAGAGGTCTCCGCCAAATGGCCGGGAGACCTCAATCGTCTTCGTCGCATGTCCCTGATCGAGGAAGACGGCGAGAAGAGGGTGAACATGGCTCATCTGTCGATCGTCGGTAGTCACGCTATCAACGGTGTCGCAGCGTTGCACACGGAAATCCTGAAAAACGGAGTGTAAGTGTCGAGTTCGGGGGGGGGGGGGTTATGAAGTCGGCAGGGTCCGGTGCACTGAACGAGCGTCAGCTGTTCACCAGAACTTTTTAACACGGACGATTTCGTTTGTTTGTCGAAGGTTCAAAGATTTCTACGAAATGAACCCCGGTAAGTTTCAAAACAAGACGAACGGCATCACTCCGAGAAGATGGCTCCTTCTCTGTAATCCGAACCTGTCGGACATCATCGAGGAAGTAAGTATGCCCGATATCGCGACAGCGACGGTACCTACGTCGACCTAGTAAGTAACGATCCGTGCTCGACATTCAATGACCACGACAACGTTTTACGCGACGCGCGTCGCCTAGAGAATCGGCAGCGACTGGACCGTACATTTGGAACAGCTCGCTCAATTGAAACAGTGGGCCAAGGATCCGGTGTTCCAGCGCAGCATCATAAAAGTGAAACAAGAGAACAAAATGAGAGTAGCGCAGATCCTGGAGAAAGATTACGGCGTCAAGGTGAATCCTGCCTCTATCTTCGACATCCAGGTACGCAGAGAGATCAGTCGCGCACACGTACACACGTGTCCGCGCGAGACTCGTCCTCGATCGTCTCTCGTCGTCGCGCGTCGTTAATTCTAATCGAGTCGGCGGCGACGACGACGACGACGACGACGACGACGACGACGACAACGACGAACAACTGATACGACCGCGGGTCGCCGCGTGTACCGTTGTCGACAGGTGAAGCGAATACACGAATACAAGAGGCAACTTCTGAACTGTTTGCACGTAATCACGTTGTACAACAGGATAAAAAAGGATCCAACCGCACCGTTCGTTCCGCGAACAGTGATGATAGGAGGAAAGGCCGCGCCCGGTTATTACTCGGCTAAACAAATCATCAAGCTGATCTGCAGCGTGGGAAACGTCGTAAACAACGATCCCATCGTCGGTGACAAGTTGAAATTAATTTTCTTGGAAAATTATCGAGTCACACTGGCGGAAAAGATCATTCCGGCGGCCGATCTCAGCGAACAGATCTCCACCGCCGGTACGGAAGCCTCCGGTACAGGAAACATGAAGTTCATGGTAAGCAAGCTGGACGAACTAGAAGTAGACAGAACTGTGTGAACAGTGTGTCTCAAACGTTTCAGTTGAACGGCGCGTTGACGATCGGTACGTTGGACGGTGCCAACGTGGAAATGGCGGAAGAAATGGGCAAAGAGAACATATTCATCTTCGGTATGACCGTCGACGAGGTGGAAGCGTTGAAGAAGAAGGGATACAACGCATACGATTATTACAACAGGATCCCGGAGTTGAAACAGTGCATCGATCAAATCCAGGGTGGTTTCTTCAGCCCGAACAATCCGGACGAGTTCAAAGGCATCGCGGACATCCTACTGAATTGGGACAGATTCTATTCATTGGCCGATTACGAGAGCTACATTCGAATGCAGGATCACGTCGGCAAGGTGTACCAGGTGCGTCAATCGACGTCAGGTCGCAACCGACCGAACGCTCACATCTCGTCGCGTCGTACGCCTCTCTTCACCGGTCGTTACCAAGCACCTTTTTCACCTGTTTCAGGACGAGAGCAAGTGGGTAGAAATGGCGATACAGAACATAGCTTCGTCCGGAAAATTTTCGTCGGACCGTACGATCGAGGAATACGCTCGAGAAATTTGGGGCGTCGAGCCGAGCTGGCAACGACTACCCGCACCTCACGAGCCACGAGACATTTAAACGACGCGTCGTCGTCGCCGTCGCTACACTCGTCGATCCACGCGGTCGTTCTTCGTCGCGCTCCTCGCTGCTACTAACACAACCACTCTCGTACGTTTCAACTCTCTCTCGGTCAAGCGGTGGTGGACAAAGAAAGAAAAGATCTTCGATCCCGTTCGAACGGGTGCAGCGTGCGGCGCGCGGAGCGCGGCGCGAGTAATCTTTGCCTTCGACGGCAACGACCGAAACTCGGCCACGATCCGTCATTGGTCGTCGCCGGGTGTCGATGCAATTTTAATTCGCGCGCAAAGTACAGAGTAAATCGTTCTCGCCGAACGAAGCAACACACACACACACACACAGAGGTACTGCCCCGAAACACCCAGTCGATGAATCCGTTGTTCCTAAGAGTTCCCCGTGACAAAAGCGAAAGACAGTAATTTTATTTAACCATATTTTTGTACTCGCAAATAAAACCGCACAATGGCGACAGAAAGGAAAGAACAGATACGATCAGCCAAACACACGTACGCAGTCCAGAACAGTAGGACCGATCCGCTGAACGAGGAGGAGACGATACGTACAGGACCAGGTCGTCCCACGACATCGTTTCTACCCCATCAGATCGTATCGCGAACGTTACGAATTACTCTCATTGTACATGTACGTCTTTCGAAAGATATAATTATTCTTGTTGTCAACATTTAACGAAATAAAACGCGTACGTCGCACGCACGTGTGGTGTCAATGCGGAGTCCCGTTTCGATCGACGCGTCGATCGCGACGCACACCGAACGAAAGACCGGAACGGCGTTGACGACGGGACACCGCCGGCGGACAAGCGAGCTTCCCCTCGAATCTCGCGCCTTCGATCAAATCGGACGTAGGAGGAACAGGAGACGCGGCGGTCGCCCGTACGCAAGAGCGGCTTAAAAGAAGGCGATCTTCCAATAAATCACGGTCCGAGCTCATCGCCATCGCCCGGCGTCGTAGAATCGTCAGAGTCGCAGAGAGCAGGAAAGAGAGAGCATGTCCGCGAACCAAGACGAGGTCTTTGTGCAAACAAAAGAAAACGCCCATCGCGAATTCTCGTTCGTCGACGAAGACGCAGCATCGTTGGTAAGCATGCGCACGCACCCGGTATCGATCGGTAATCGACGCAACAGCTCTTGCCTTCTCGCGATCCGTCGAAGACAACCGAAAGAACAGAAGCAAGCAAACGTAGCGTTACGCGTTCTCTCGACCAGCCGCTCGTATCGGTGCGCGACGTCACCACGGCAGTGGTCGCCTAACCTCTCTCTCGAATCGACGAGACATCTCAGAACGGAGAACGACGATCGTTCGAGTCTGACACGAACGTCGTCGCAGAGAGACCGATCGAAGCAACAACGCGCGCGCGTACACGCAGCATCGTTCCGAATTCACGACGTTCGCACGACGACGGTCATATCCGTGCAACGAAAACGGGCGTGGACACGAACAGTTGATTCCGGTCGAGAGACGAACAGTAACGCAACGACACGATGTCTCCCACGTCGGCCACCGTCGGCTAATGTCGAAGATACGCATCCAGACCGTGACCAGTCTATACGTACGGTCGTACAAATCCATTTCGTCTTTCGCGACAACTACAATCCTCCCGTTGCCGCGATTTTTCCGAACACATCATCCGCGGGTGTCGCACGCAGCGCGATCGCAAGCGCACACCCAGGGAAATCATTCCACACACACACACACACACACACACGCGCGCGCGCACAGACTGGATCTCGTAGTCGCGACCTCCATGCTCCATACAGTCCGTAGCGCGTACGTGCACACGTAAGTGCGTACAGTCGATCGTACTCGCGACCCAGTTCACACGCGCACGCACCAAGTACGTAACTCGGACCAGTGAGAGAGCGGGAGGGAGGGGGACGTAGAGAGAGAACGCAGCACTACGTTCGCACGCGCGACCCTGGTCCGGGTCGGCGTACGTACGTACAGTACGCACGCAGGTACACGACGCGGTGTAGAAAAGACGTTCCGCGAACGATGCATCCCACGTCGCATTTCAGAGCACATCGACACCGGTTCCGTTGCAACCCCTGAAACCGACGTCGGCCATCGTGGTGACGGGCTACGTCCCTCCGGACGCTTCAAGGTGACGTCTCCGATCGTATCGTAAGAGCAGCGAGCGACAGTCGAGAAACGTAGACAAAGACAAAAGTCAGAAGTCGAAAGACCGACGTCGTCTCGGTGGCAGAACAAACGTCGCGGCCGACGTTCGTCTCGACAGCGGGCGAGACGAACGCCGGACGGACGGACGGACGACTGACGCGTACGATCGGATTCGCACACAGATTCTCCGTGAACCTGTGGTGCAAAACCGGCGGGAACATCGCGTTACACCTGAACGCGCGACTGGACAGAGGTTACGTGGTCCGAAACTCGAAATCGAGGGGACGCTGGGAAGAAGAGGAGACATGTTCCCCGGCAGCGCAGACCGCTTTCCGACGGAACTCTTACGTACACATTCTAATCTTCTGTACCAGCAACGAATATCAGGTGAGTAGCAGGAGAACTGACCGGGGTCCCTGGGTTCGGGTCGGAAGCGACCGACCGACCGAGCGACCGACACACCGCCGCCGCCGACGACACGTCTCGCAATGAGAACGAACGATGGTTGGTCACCAGATCGCCGTCAACGGGGAACACTTTTGCGCGTTCTCGTACAGAATGCCTCTAGAAGAGACAACGAGTCTAGAGGTGAACGGATCATTGGAAGACGTCCGATTCAAGCAGTCGACGTCGTCGGTCTATCCCGATCCGAAGACGCGGAGATCGAGGGACGCGTGGAGCTTGAAAATCGATCGGCCGCTCGTTCATTCCCTGGTAGTAGTACAGTCTCGTAGTCGCTCGAACGTCGAGCACGAACGCTCGTAAGTGACAACCGTTCCGTCGTTTGTCGAAAGGCTACCCCGATCACGGTGGACATCGAAGACGAATTGAAGCCAGGAACCAGACTGTTGATCGCCGGAAGACTGAAACTTCTTCCTCATTCGTAAGTAGTACGAGCAGTAGGAACAGTAGTATCAGTAGTATCGGTAGTAGTAGTAGTAGTAGTAGTAGTAGTAGTAGTAGTAGTACTAAGAAGGACGCGAGAAGTCTCCGAGAACGAGACGACACGGGTGAAAACGAAATCGGAAGGATCCGACGACAGCGCGAGTGAACGAGAGTGGTGAGGTAACGAACCGTAAAGGACGATCTGGCGGAACACACGGTTGCAGGTTCTACGTGAACCTACAAGAAGGAAAAGCGATCTACCCGCATCCGGTGATCCCGTTACATCTGAATCCGCGTTTCTCGTACGGCAGCAGCGCGCCGTACGTAGTGATGAACTGTTGGACGGACGGGTCTTGGGGACACGAAGAGAGGCACTCGGGACACCTGTCGTGGATGCCAGGACGTGACTTTCTTCTGACGTACGTCGACTCACCGAGTCCTCGACGGAGTCTCGCGGCAGCGCTGGAAACGAGGCCGGCCGTGTCCCAGTCCGAGTGGTGGGCGTCGACGCGGACGCCGGACCGGGACGAGACGGCACCGGTTCGAGCGCCGCGAGACCTCGGCACCAGGGTCGAGATATTTTTACCCACGACGCTCGCTTCCCCTGTTTTTTGCCCGTATTTCGATCTCCACTACTATTCCCCTCACGCGTGGTGATGCGCGTTCGCGAAGATCTCCGCAGCGCTATGGTCCCCAGCATGGTCGCGTCGTCCCCACTTTGCGGCCGTGGGTAAAAATATCTGAACCCTGCTCGGCACGCCGAACGCGTAGACAGACAACGGGTAACGGTGGGACCTCTGGTGGTGCACAGAATTCGATGCGAAGAGGACGCGTACACGATCTGGTTGGACGACAAGATGATCGGCGAATTCCGGCACAGGTCACGACCGTCGATCGTGGACACCCTGAAAATACACGGGGACGTGGTGCTGCACGAACTGGCCACCACTCGGTCGAAGTAAACGAACGGAGAGGGGTAGTGGTCGGTGGTGACGTCCGGACGACACACGCGACACAGGACGAGCACGACGCACCACGGAGACGGGTGGGAGGCGGGTGAGACGCAACGATCGGCGAAGCGAGCGTCGGCGAAGAAGAGACGAGCGGGACTCGGAACGAAAGCGGACGAGGCCCGTCGGTGGCGGGACAGAGAGGACACACGCAGTCGGTCGGTAGCCGAGAGGCGGCCGATCGCCGCGTCCACGCTCGGTGGCCGGGAAGCAGGGACGACGGACGTCGGAGACGGTCTCGCCGGGGCGAGAGGAGGTCGGAAGCGCGCGATCGTGGAAACGGTGGACAGTCGAATAAAGAAAGTGTGGAAAGAGAAACGTCTCGTGACTGACCTCAGACCTTAGCCAAATCCTATCCCTCGTCCAGGTGATCGTCAGCGAGTACGCGAGCAGAAACGGAAGAAGGAACCGAAAGGGGACGACGAGTCGCGAGGGTCGAGCAAGGTGGGACGCGACTCGCTCGTAGTCGCTCCTCGCGGTACCCTGGAACAGCGGTGGTAGGAGTATTTTGGAAATCTCGGAATCGGGACGTCGGGTGGATGGCGGGGGGAGGGGNGGAGCGTGAGAGTGGGTGTGGGAGAGTGTGAGAGGACGTGGGAGAGTGTGAGAGGATGTGGGAGAGTGTGGGAGGGTGTGGGAGTGTGTGAGTGGGTGTGGGAGCGTGAGAGTGGGTGTGGGAGAGTGTGAGAGGATGTGGGAGAGTGTGGGAGGGTGTGGGAGTGTGTGAGTGGGTGTGGGAGCGTGAGAGTGGGTGTGGGAGAGTGTGAGAGGACGTGGGAGAGTGTGAGAGGATGTGGGAGAGTGTGGGAGGGTGTGGGAGTGTGTGAGTGGGTGTGGGAGCGTGAGAGTGGGTGTGGGAGAGTGTGAGAGGACGTGGGAGAGTGTGAGAGGATGTGGGAGAGTGTGGGAGGGTGTGGGAGTGTGTGAGTGGGTGTGGGAGCGTGAGAGTGGGTGTGGGAGAGTGTGAGAGGATGTGGGAGAGTGTGAGAGGAGGTGGGAGAGTGTGATGTGGTGTGGGAGCGTGTGAAGAGGGTGTGGGAGCGTGTGACGTGGCGTGGGAGGGTGTGAAGAGGGCGTGTGAGCGTGTGAGAGGGAGTGAGGAGGTGTGTGAGAGTGCACTGGAGTGTTAGAGGGCATGGGAGGGCACTCCAGCTCTGCGGGCCGGCGAAGCCGGGCCGCAGAGCGCCAGGTTAGGTCAGGAAGATAGGTTAGGTCAGGAAGATAGGTTAGGTCAGGAAGATAGGTTAGGTCAGGAAGATAGGTTAGGTCAGGAAGATAGGTTAGGTCAGGAAGATAGGTTAGGTCAGGAAGATAGGTTAGGTCAGGAAGATAGGTTAGGTCAGGAAGATAGGTTAGGTCAGGAAGATAGGTTAGGTCAGGAAGATAGGTTAGGTCA